CATAACCTCGTGAGTGACTCCGTCTTCTATCAAACATTCGTCTTTGTTGAACTTGATTTTGAATCCTTTGTCACAAAGTTGGCTAATACTAAGAAGATTGTGCTTGAGTCCTTCGACATAAAGTACATCTTCTATTGTTGTAAAAGGTAGTGAACCAATAGTGCCTATGCCAAGAATCTTGCCTTTATTATTATCACCATAAGTAACATAACCCTTGGCTTTAAGCGTTATTTGTGAAAATTTGTTTATATCTCCCGTCATATGCCTTGAACATCCACTATCAAGATACCAATAATTTCCGGAGGTCTTCAAGCATACCTACAAAACAGGATTAAGTTTTGTTAGGTACCCAAATTGCTTTGGGTCCTTGATAGTTAGTTCCCTTTTTCACCCATACATAATGCCCTTGTGGAACACTAAAGTTACAAACATAACAAGCATTAGGTGTGTGACCTTTAACTCCACAATAAAAACAAGTTGGTTCAAATTTGCTTTTATATCTAGGAACATAAGATTTCTTCTTAGCAAACAATTTCTTTTTAGGATGTTGATGCACAATTTTAGGATTGTTTACTTTTCCCTTAGGAATTTGGTTATTAGGCCTAACAAAGATTGTTTCATTTGAACTTGGTTTAGAGAACTTGGAATATCCTAGTCCACCTTTATCATTAGAAAATCTTTGATGCCTAAGAACTTCTTCCAAACCAATTTGACCTTTCTCATATCTTTCAATAACTCTTTTAAGTTGAACAATTTGAAATGAGAGAGATTCACAATTCTTACATACAAAATTCTGTTTTTCACTCATTAATTTTTGTTTCTCATCTTCAACATATTTTACTAATTCAATGTTCTTTTCTTCTAAAGATGCCATTAGTTTCTTTTGAGATGAGATAATCTTATACATATTTTTTCATTCAAGTAACAATTCATCAATAGCGTCTTGTGCATCATTATCATAAACAGAAAAGTTGCTACTAACCTCATCTTTTTCGTCATCAGAGTGGTGTGAAGCCATTAGAGCCAAATTTGCACATTCATCGCTTTCTGATTCCGATGAGGAACTTATCTCATTATCTTCCCAAGCAATATACGCCTTCTTGTTCTTGAAGTCCGTATTGCCTTTAAATCCTCCTTTCTTTGGAAGCTTTGGACAATCTGGTTTTATGTGGCCTTGTTTTCCACATTCATAGCATGTAACATCTTGCATTGATGTGGATGCCTCCTTTTTTATGAAATGTCTATTCTTTTTATCATAAAGGGATTTATCATTTTTATTGAAAAACTTACCAAGTCTTTTTACAAGGAGCATGAACTGTTCATCTTCCTCCAATGCGTCATCATTTTTATTTTCTTTTGACTCCACTTTCAAGACAATTCCTTTGGATTTCTTTTCTAGATTTTCATGTTTATCAAGCCTTCCAAGTTCTAACTCATGTTCTTGAAGTTTGCCAAAAAGTGATGCGGACGTCATTGTTGAAAGACTTTTCTTCTCCGAAATTGCTGTCACTTTTGGTTGCCACTCTCTGGTTAAGGATCTAAGAATTTTAAGGTTCAAATCATCGTTAGTAAAGGTCTTACCGAGAGCGATTAAGTGATTTTTCAAGTGAACGAATCTTTTCTGTAATGCCACAATGGATTCTCCGGGCAGCATTCTAAACATTTCATATTCTTGACTTAGTGTGTTCAATCTGGATCTCTTTACTTCGGCGGTGTCTTCATGTGTTTCCACTAAGGTGTCCCATATTTCTTTTGCCGACTTGCATTGAGAGACGCGGAAGAACTCATCCATACTCAAGGCACTTTGTAATATGTTGATAGCCTTTTTCTCATTAAGAATCCTTTTCTTGTCATCTTTATCGTATGATGATTTAACCTTTGGAGTTCCTACACCATTGACGAAACTTATTGGTTCATGAGGACCATTCTCAATAGTTTCCCATATTCCTTCTCCTTGGGCTTCTAGAGGTGCCTTCATGCAAATTTTCCAAAAATCAAAATATTCTCCAGAAAACAGTGGGGGTTTGTTACTACTTCCACCGTCTTTGAAAACCGGGTTGGTGCTAGCGGAAGCAATTCTGAATCGATAGGAACAGGTTACCTTAACCTGCTCTGATGCCAAATGTGAGTTATATGAATGCCTAAGAGGGGGGGGGGGGGGGGTGAATTAGGTTCTTAGACACTTTTTCCGGTTTTTGATGATTCTTGGATTTTTACTTTCCTAAGTGCTTCTAGGTGATGAAAGGCAATAAATGCGGAAAGTAAAAGACACAGCGATATATAGTGGTTCCTCTCACAATCCGAGAGTACTCCACTCCCCTTTCAACATGAAAGAGTATTTTACTATCAATGTTAGATTTCCTATCCAAGACAATTCTAACAACTAATAACACCCTTCTTGGATTTACACAATTTTAAAGTCCTACCGAGAATGAATATCTCACACAAGGACCTCTTGTATCCACAATCCGGATAACAAGGAAAATCCCTACACACTTATCTTTAACAATCCTAAAAATAAGTTATAGTGAATCTAAATTTTGTATAAATAACAATGTAAATATTTATCAATATGAATATTGATCTTCTCCTTGAAAAAATATCACTCACAATAGATATACAAGTGTTCTTATAGATGAGATGAAACTTGAATGATGTTTCTGAAAAATGATAAAGAGTTTCTCTCAAAAAGTTTGTAATGAACACTACGACAAAGTATTTGAAAGAATGAGAATATGAGTGATTTTGATTATGAAAAACGTTGGAGGTAATTTCAAAATCTGAAAAAGAATTATTTATATAATGCACAAAAATACCTTTCCATGGAGGTATCATACCATGAAACAATGCCATGAAAAGAAATGTTGAGGCAAGGAAGAATACCATGAAAAGATGCATATTTTTGGGAATCTGAACAGTATTAATCGATTAACATAATCCCTTAATCGATTAACACACTGTAACGTGCAAATAAATATTTAAAATTTTAACCTGTTAATCGATTAATGAAAAGCCTTAATCGATTAGCACTGAAACATTTTGCCTAAAGACAGATTTTTGAAGTATGAAACTTATGGCAAGGTATTCTTATAATGCCTAAACATGTATGCAATCATGACACAATATAAGAACACTTGTATAAATATGTTAAGCAATATTTAATCAACCTTTGCTTTACTCCAAAATGAACTTCAAAGCTTGAGCAATTGTTGGATAAAACTTGAAGCTTGAAACAAGTGATCATTTCTTTTTGCGCATCTAAACTTGAGCATATATTGTTGTCGTCATCGAAACAAGAATATTTGAAGGAAGCTTGACTTCACAGAGACGTGATGATCTTGGTGTTGAGTAAGTTCTTTGTTAATTATAGCGATAACTGGTGAAGCGTTGTCTTAGAGTTGTTTTCATATCGGTCATCGAAGATGGAAGCAAAAAAGGTGTTTACGAAATGGTTACGGTTGTCGAAACAGTAACAAAAAGCAACTATAAAAGTGCAATGACGAAGATCAAAGAAATTTAGTGGAGAATTCGTGAAAGGTTGAATATGACCACCATGATGAAACTTTTAATGATCAAAGAGAGAGTACATGTAACTAGAGCTGTCAAAATGAGCTAATCCATATGAACTGATCCACCACTCCCGAAAAATCATCGGGTTTGGACTTTAAATTAAAGCTCATATTTTTCGGAGCTTTTTAAATCCAACCTTAATAAGTCTACTACCCATTAAGGCTAATCCATATGGGCCGTAGGTAATCCATTAGGTTCACATCGCTATAAATATTAAAAAATTATATTATTACTTATATTGTCTTATTCCAAAATAACACATTAATTTTTCTCACCTCACTAAATTTTATCTGTATTATATTCAATCTTTCTCTTTTAAATATTATATATTAATATAATCAACACTCTTTTCGCGTATTTTACTAGTTTCTCTTATATTAAATATTAAAGTATTATTTTATACAATTTAGATATATATTGTATTTAAAAACACATCATAGTATTTATAAAAAATAATATAGTACTTTAAAATGTATTATGTTTAAAATAATATATTTTTTAATTTTAATTTTAATAAATATTATGGTTTTTTATTATAATTTGTTTATTTTAAAAAAACTCGTTTAGGGTTGGATAGCCTGAAGTTCATTTAGGGCCGGATAGTCTGAAGTCCATATCAGGTCGGACTCGAGCATATTAATAATGAACTTTTTTGACCTAATCCTAAAAAACCCGAGCCCATAAAAACTAGTCCGTTTAGGGTCAGATAATTCATTTTAATAGCTCTATAAATAAAGTTAACATTTCAATACTTAAAGTCAATATAAAAAATAACATATATCCTCAAATCAATATATGTAGGATCAGCATTTCAATACTTAAATTAATATAAAAAATAACTTATATCCCCGATCAATACTAAGGGGTCCAAATCTCAAAACATTTGGGTCCGACCTCTTCTTCTTGAGTCAATATTTCAATTGACCTCAAATTCGATAATCAATGCATCTAAGAAGTATCGTCTACTGGAGTGTGAATGTTATAATATGAACTACTATTTGCCTCAATTCACTATGAGTATTTTGGTGAACAGGAACAATAATATTATTTTATCTTACCTTGAGTCTATTTTACCAATTGCAATTTTAACTGTTGATTCACATTTTCTAGAGTTATTATGCGTTAATGTGAACAGAAAATGAAGACTTCATGGACTGCACATTGGGACCTTGGTTTTTAAGAAAAATAAAGGAAACATTGATGCTAAAATTATGTACGGCAGTTTTTCTTGTGTGTTATGTTACTTTTCCCTTGAAGTTAACCTTGTATTTTTGTAGGAAGACAAAACCAGGAAAACAAAAAAACACACATTGATTTTCAATCCATTATTCTTAACCTAATCCTAATAACATTTACATACATAACTAATACAAACTCACATATACAAAAAAAATATGCTACAAAAAGAATGATCAAATGATCAAATGATATCATGAAGATAGCATTGGACGTTTCCCTCGCAAATCTGCTTGTGCAGTAGCAGAACTTGTTCTTGTTGCAGAAGAAGTAGAACTGGTAGCCGTAGCAATTGTAGTGTCATAATTGCTCGAATCAACGTGTGAAGCAGATGATTCATTCTCATCATCAGTAGTAAAAGAGGTGTGACTGCGAGGTACTGTTCTTCTGTATCTAGAACCAGGTATACCCGGTCTCGTTGGCTCTTCCATGTGACTTGGTGGCTTCTTTGACAACATCAACACCACCCGCCCCATCGTTGGACGGAGTTGTGGATCTCCTTGTGTGCACAATAGACTCATTCGAATGCACACTACAACTTGCTCTGTTATCTCCACTGAGGATGCCACTGTGGGGTCTACCATTTCAAACCACCTCCCTTTCTTGTAAAGCTTGTATGCCTGAACAAAAACAAAGAAAAATTAAGAATCAAAGAATTTGATTTAAATCAACAATTATTTTAGGGAAACTTTTATTCGCAATTAAGAGACTAGTTTCTTTATAAAATAATAATTACCGCATTTAAAGTTATCTTTCTTAATGGTGAATTTTTATATGTATAAATCAAATATCGAACTCTTATTTCATAAAAGACATAAGTCTTCTAATATTATTAGACTCGATGCTTCCCGATAAGAAATAAGACGTCAAAAATCAAATAATAACAATAATAATACAAATTTACCCAATTAAGGAGATTGTCTCCATTGAAGGCCGGATCAGAGGATGAGTTTCGACGGCCGGTGATCAACTCCAACACCAAAACTCCATAGCTATACACATCTGCCTTCACAGATAAGTGTCCATGCATCAAGTACTCTGGAGCCATGTATCCACTGCATATTTATCGGGTTTTTATAACACTAGTAAGAAACCTATTTTCATAAATGAATTTGATCAAAATCCAATATATAATACTAGTTCATAAAAGACTTATGATATAATTCTCAAAATTTTCAGTTTTGAATTCCATTTCTATGGAAAACTATATCAAAGTATATGACTTAGCGTCTCATGGACTTGATTGTAATATGAACCACTTGAAAAATACTTGAAATATATCAGACGTTTTGTTTTTAAGATGCATTGACACTGACTTTATAATGACTTGACTATAATGGAGAATGCACTGACATTGACTTAAATTGACTTGGATTATAATGAATGGATATGAATAAATGCATTTTGTTGAAAAATGAAAAGAAGAAAGAGTATAATTTACTGTGTTCCAGCCACACGTGTATTGACATGAGTTTCATCTTCTGGAAAGAGACGAGCCAGGCCAAAGTCAGCAATCTTAGGGACCCATTTTTCATCAAGTAAAATGTTGGCTGCTTTTATGTCCCGATGGATTATGCAGTTGTGAGAGTCTTCATGAAGATAAAGTAAACCTCTTGCCACTCCATTGATTATGTCAAACCTGCGTTTCCAATCTAGCCCTTCTTTCTTTTTTGACTCTGCATATGTTAATTTCCACATAAACATGTTTATATCGTCACACACTATGGAGCAAAAGTAATCGACACACCATCAATGGAGAATAAAAAAACCAAACTATATAAATCATATCCTTTTCTTTTTAATTTAATATGCAAACTATATATATAAAGAATATAAGTCTCTAAAGAATACAAAAACCGCAAGTGTAGTCCTTGCTATTAAGATGTTAGGGACAGAACTGACAGATATTCACACACCTTGAAGATTAAACTGACGGATTTCATATACTTTCTTGAGACTATTTATTATATTTACATAGTGATAATTTAGGGACTGAATTAATGGTTTATTCAATACTAAAGAGATTTTCACATTGTAAAATCACAAAAATTTCATATTGGCTAAGAATCAAGGCAGGTTCTGTATAGGCGGTCCATGCCTCCATAGTGGATTGCTATTTAAAAATAATTTGAAACTCTAATGATGTTTGGGGTCGGCAAAGCCTCTCAGCAGTATAAGCTTATGATTATGGTCCTCCTCCTTACGCCTTAGACGGTAACTGTACCAGTGTCGTTTTGAGACACAAGTTCGTTTTTCCTTTTTTTTGTCAAACGGGCACCAATCAAATCACATGATAAAAAGGACAGTGAACTTCTACTTTTGGAAGGCGGTGTCTGTACTCGTTAGAGTTTCAAACAATTTTTAAGTATTAGAGACTACATCGTCTCACCTATTACTGTAAAATTTTCCGAGAACAAAACTAGCCACGAGCATTTCTAATGATACAATTCCACGCCACATAAATTTTTTAACATATTATCATGTTTCTATTTCAATGACCACATAAGAGACTCATGTACCATCTACCCATAAAAAAGACTTGTGTATCAACTTCAATGATAAATCCAAATAAGAGTACTAGAGTGAGAAAAGGTCTATATTCAGTTGACACAAATGAAATCTGTGATGGAAAAAAAATGCATATTCACACACTTCATGGCCAGCCAAATAGAGTCAAACAGTCAATTAGTTTAATAGACCCTCTACAAGATTACAAAATATATACGGCACTAAAAACAGAAAAAGATCTGTGAGAAAGAATGTCCATGAAATATCAGCAAGTCAAATCACTTCAAAACCAGGGAGAAGTAAGCTTAGTGTTCACACCAGATAATAACTTATTTGGTTTTAGAACAGTACCATAATTTTCTTGTTTTTAAACATAAACTCAGAAAAAAAACTAGTATGAAAAGGATTCAAATGTTCTAAAAGATACTTAATTTGGAGGAAATTTTATAGCTTTTGATATGTGATCTTAAACTTGTTCAAGAGACTATAATAAGAGGAATTGAAAAAGAAAGACTCACTGAATAGAAACTTGTCAAGGCTCTCACGAGGGACATACTCATACACAAGAAGCTTCTCTCTGCCATGGATACAATAACCAAACAAATTCACCACATTACGGTGCTGCACACGGGTCAACAACTTGGCCTCCGCAACAAACTGCTTCTTCCCTTGATTTGAACCATGTGATAGCTTCTTCACTGCAATCTCTCTTCCATCGTTCAATTTACCCTTTAACCAAAAAAGAGTCAAACAAAATCAAATATCAGCACAATTAGAATATACTTCTATTAGGTCTTCGCTTAATTATGGATCAAAAGTTTCAAATTGATATCTGCAATTATAATTGCAGGTCTATCAGACTAGCATTAATGTTTTACTTGGCTGTTTCTTATTCACAAATTTCTTCAAAAATCACCACAAATATAGAATTGCAAGTGCCACTATAATTAATCACAATGCAATAACTTGTTTGAGCCAATTGAATCCTATGTAATATTGTTGCTACTTTTCCAAACAAAAAGAACATGAAAATCCAATACCTATCTTCTGGTAAATTCTACGAAGAACACCAATAGGTGGTCTACCACGGACTGGTACTCATAATTTGTTTGACGCTTTAATGACAACTGACGTTATCTGTCAAAAGTAGAAGCTCAAAGTTTTCTTCATCCTCACGGAATCACGACTGAGACGGTGACTTGATACAATTTGACAAAAACAGAAAAACAAATAGTTGTGTCTCAAAACTCAACTCATATTTGTTTTTCCATGTTTTTTGTCGAATCAACATCAATCAGGTCATTGTCGCAACTATAAAGATGACGAGTACTATCAGCTTCTACTTCCACGGAACCTCGTAGACCTGCATTAGAAATTCATGTGATTTTTACTGCAGGCCCATGATAAAAATCCACCTCTATCTTCTATCTATCTATAAATTCTATTAAAATCTAGAATTTCACTTCTCAATTTCACTCCGTCTTTTTTCACATACAAGTAATCTTGCACGAGAAGTTTCACACATCAATCCTATCATTTTTTTGTTTTGTTTATATTCATTCATACAATCTTGCACAAGATCATTACTAGTTCAAAAGCTAAAAACAGCTCCATTGATTTATATTTATCTACCTTATAGACAGGCCCAAATCCTCCTTCTCCAAGTTTGTTTAAAGCTTGAAAGTTGTTGGTAGCAGCAACCAATGTTTCGAAGGAAAATGTTCTCTGCTCCTGCGTAGCTATGTTCTGTATATCGTCTTCGCTCCTTCCCTCTAACAAAAAACACCACAAATTATTGAAAAAAATCAGAAGAGAAGAACAAAAAAAAACTGGATTTTGTTGGTTAGTCACCTCTGGTGGAACCAAATTTGAAGGGCTTAATGAGATTATGGAAGAAATTTTTGGATTTGCTCATAGCGGTTTAAGGCTCACAGAGAACGAGTCCATGAAACCCTAAAAGATGAATTGGTTGAAAGGGGAGAAAATTGAGAGAAGGAGTTGTTGTGAAGTTGATAAAGTGTTGCAGCTAATGAAATGGAGGCGTGTTTGCCTATTTCATGTAGACCTTCTGCCGGCCCCATTCTTGACTATTGACCTTTCCTAAATTCCTAGAATCCTCTCTCTCCAGTGTTTACAAAACTCATGCAACATTCTACCTATAGGAGTTTTACTAACTTTTAAGAAAAGTCTCTTTCCAACAAAAACTCATTCTTTATCGGTTGAATAACTTTGATGGTTCTACTCAAATTTTTTTTTTATTTTGTTTTCTTTCAAAAATATTCTTTTTGATGTTTTTAATTTAAAGTTTTTATCATGCCAGTTAGCTTCTATTAAGAAAAACTAACGTGAATGGATTTTTTTATATGTGTGATTATTAGAGGACTACGGTGGTCAATTAGGATTTGTTTTAGGACAACATGAAAATATGTTTAATATTATATTTGTTGGAAATGGAAAAACATTAAAAAAAAATGTTTAAAAAAAAGTCATCTTTAAATGAATATTAATTCCTACCTTTGTTTTTCATTATAAATTGTTTTGGGAAAATATTTTGTACTATAATATAAGTCGTTTTACAATATCAATGAATCATTAATATTATTTTTTCTATTATACTGTTAAATATTTATTATTCTCTCTCCTTTCGATTATGTTAATTTGTCTTTTCAATATTATTAATGAATGACAATTTTATAAATTTCTTCGTAATTTCTCTTTTTATATTATATTTATTACGTTTCTTAATATGTGTGAAAAGTCAAAAAAGATTTATAATAAAAAACGAAGCAAGTATAATTTTTTGTTGACCTTCAAAACCTTATATTTCATCCTCTTCATGTTGGTTTAAGTTTGTTATAACTAATCATAACTAGGAAACACATTAACTCTAATATTTGTGATCTTACCGAATCAGAAATTGATTAACAGTTTGTCACACATCGTGAGCTCCTATGTTCACCGATGTTGGAGAAGAGGAGAGAGTGTACCTGCAAGGTACTCCAATGCTAAAGTGAGAAACGGAGTAAGAGTGGGCAAGTACAAAAGGAAGGTTTAGAATTCAGAATACATGATCCTCTAGTGAAAAAGGGCATTTATAGTGTGCCCCCAGCGTTAGGCCAACGGTTAGATTGCCTTGCCCTGGATTGTCAGACCTAACACAGCTAACTGTCAGGGTCTACGTGGCGTAGGAAAGACCAGCACGTGATCTTCACCTGGTCCAACTGCTCTGTGATCCTCGGAAGATGGAAGACCTGTTCTTTAGGACACAGGTAGTTGCCTGATGACGTCTCCCCACGTGGGGAACACGTGGAGAACGTGGGGAAAGCGCGTGAGCTCTCCCCGTGTTAGGTAGCGGTCTGTCCGACTGCAGAGAGTACTGAGCTTGCCCGACGGGATGGATGATTAGGCCTTGTTGGGCCTTCCCAATGTAGTATTGGGTTGGGCCTGCCCGACTTTGGGGCAGGTCCTGGCCCAGTACAAAACAGTTTGTTTAAAGTTACATATGATTGAAGCATTGAAAGTTATGTTTTAGTATGACCTTTCAAATTGTTAAGGGTATTTGAAAGCTGCATATAGTAGTTAAAGCATTATGAAACCATAAAATACTTTCTTTGAAGTTCAGGTTGGTCTCACATATTTCCCTCAAGTTGTATCGTCTTTATCGTATCATATTGTAGGATTTCTTGTATTGTATTTGTTTAATATTACTATATTCGACTGAATGCTAGGTTTTTGGATGATTTTTGTGAAAATTTTACTGCGTATATATATTTATGTTCATGTATTTAACTAAAATTTTGTATCATATAGACCTTCTGTTGTCCCCATTCTTGACTATTAAATTTGACCTTTCCTAAATTTCTAGGACTCTCTTTCTCCATTGTTTACAAAACTCATGCAACATTGTACTTATAGGAGTTTAACTAACTTTTAAGAAAAGTCTATTTCCAACAATACCACCATTCTTTATAGGTTGAATAACTTTGATGGTTCTACTCAATTTTTTAAATTTTGTTTCTTTCAAAAATATTCTTTTTAATGTTTCTAATCTAAAGTTTTGGTCATGCCAATTAGCTTCTATTAACATGAATGGATACTTAACATTTTTTTATATGTGTGATTATTAGAGGACCATGGTGTTGAGTTAGGATTTGTTTTAGGATAACGTGAAAATATGTTTAATAATATATTTGTTGGAAATGGAAAAACGCAAACAAAAAATATTTGTTTAAAAAGTCATCTGTAAATGAATCTTAATTATAATTTTTGTTGACCTTCAAAACCTTCTCTTTCATCCTCTTCATGTTGGTTTAAGTTTGTTATACCTATGTGTCGCGCTGAGAATTGGATATCAAGCTATTGATTAACTTGAATCGCAAATCATTATTCACCATCAGTCTTTAATTTGTCCAAGGAAAGGGAAAAAGATCGAATAATCCTTGAGTATTGAAATTCTGGTATGCAGATCTCATATGTTCCAAGAACATTGATCTCTGCTTAACAAGGACGAGGATAGACCATGACCAATTTAAATTTCTTTAAATTGTCCCAATGTCATGACCAACGTCATGACGTCTGTTGTGACATCTGCAGGCTGACAGACCTATTTATCTAACCATTTAAATTATGCAGAATTGTAAATGCCGAAAGATAAATAACACAGTAATTGTTAACCCAGTTCGGTGCAACATCACCTACATCTGGAGGCTACCAAGCCAGGGAGGAAATTCACTATCAGCAGAATTAATTCAGAGTTAAACCTCCAGTTTACACTCCTCACTTAAAACCTACCCAAATGACACTTCAACCTAGAGACACTCTAGACCCGAGTATACCCACTCACTCCCTCTCAATCACACACAGTGATATCAATACACAATTACAAAACAGTTATGGAGATACACTAAAAAACACACAATGATCTTGCTTCACAACTTTGATCAAGTGAGACACACTCTTGCTTAAAAGCTTTGAGTGACACAATGAACACAACAATTCATACACAATAACCAAAGCAATTATTCAGCATACAATTGCTTGACACACAAGGAATCCTAAGACTCCTAGACACACGTGAAGAGCAAACCTCTTCACTCACAAATATGTCTACCACAATGTATCAAACGATACAAAGGGTGACTTACACACAAGGGACTCTCAAACCCTAGACCTTTATTTTACACTCTAGTTTTTTTTTATGTGAGTGCTTGATTTCTTCTGCTTCTGCTCCTCCTTTTATAGCAATGCAGACTGGGCTTGGGCTGGTCACAAGTAACAAACTTTAGGTTAAACTTGGTTAAACCACTTTCCATAATTCAAGGTGCTGTCAAATTAGATCACAACAGCTTCATGTTATGTCTAGCCCTGACTAGAATCTCGCCTGAGATGACTAAGAAGCCATAACAGGTTTCTTGAAATTTAGCCTGAGATATATCAGGTATCACAATAGAAAAACAAACCCTGCACGCCTGATGTCATACGATCAATGTCATAACATTGGTCATGACATTCAACTTCACTTAAACTTGCTTTCCAGCTTGCTCTGTTGAACACTTCTGCATAATTTTCTTCATGACAGTAGAAACAAATGTTCTATAGTTCCCTAAAAAGTATCAAGATCCTTTTTATGAGCACTTAATTAAATCTGCACTTTGTTTCTAATAACACTCTTTGGCCTGCACATACTGATGAGAAATATCCAACAGGACCAAAACACTTTTGTCAAGAGATATAACATAGCAGCCCCTGCTCTACCAGACATTGATGTCATGACACTCAGTATGACATCCATGACAGCAGTTCTGTCATCAGCTCCTGCTAGCTCCTTCTACATCCATGACCGCATTTCTGTCATCAGCTCCTGCTAGCTCCTGCTGCACCAGTAGCGATGTCATGAGTCATCAGCTCTTGCTACAACACTACTCTTGCTGTTTCTCACACATGACAATAGTTCTGTCATGATAGCAGATGGATGTCGTGATGGATGTCACTACATTCAGCATGACATTCACATTAAAACACTCCACAACAGTTCTGTCACCACAGCAGATGGAGATGTTATAACATTCTGCTTAACATCAGTGCAGGATCATGTTTTACCAAAATTTAGCCAATCACAGAACCATGGACAATTCTATATCACAGAACCATGGAACTAACAAGTATGCAATGCAATGCAAAGTTAGAGAATCTAAGGTTCGGGGGTTGGTTAAACTTATGGAAGGTGTTAGCATCCTAAACATCTGTAGTACTCTACAGGAACCTCATATTTTATTGTGTTATTGTTGTTTGCTAAGGGTGAACCTAGGGGTTTGTTTCTAAGTATGCTCGCCAAGAAATCGCATCTTGTGCTTACGTATCCTGACGGGAATGGAATTAGAGCATTCGTAGTTCCCCTAAAGGGTTTGAGAAACTCTTGACTGTGGTCAAGGTTCCATAGGGAGAGGGTTTGTTGATTGATTATAGGAGAAGAGACAAGTCATCATCTTAAGGAGAATACTCAACTTTAACCACCACAAGCGCATGAAGATGATATTTACTTCACTTTGAGAGAAGGACTCCAACTCAAATTTAATCGACAAGTATGCCACATACCTCTCTCAAGCAGAAAAGATTCTACATATTTCTCGATTATGTTATGCGGTAGGGGAATTATATATCAACTATAAAGATGACTAATGTCTAATTCTCTTGTGGGAGAATATGGGACTTAACCGTAAGTTGTCTAAGTTTGAAATCCTAAGGGGAACTATCCTAAGGATATAAGGATGATAATCTAAGTTGATCAACCTGAAAGTAGGGCTGACAATGAACCGAACCAACTCGAAAATAGTTCGGAATTCGATTCGACAGTTAAATCGTTGAACTAGGTTCATGAACCAAATAAGTTGAGTATGAGCGAAAAATTAAGTTTGT